GCGCTGGTAGAAGTAGTCAGCAACAACAACCAGCCAGGCAGGAGGGAAGCCAAGCGAACCAACAACAATCTGATGGAGGGCAGCAAGGCGCACGGGCAGGCCAGAATAGACAACAATTTGGAGGCCAACAACAACAACCACCAAAACAGGGTGGAGGCTGGGGACAGAGGCAAGAGGCTGGTGGTGGGCAAAGACGACAAGCTGGAGGTGGAGATGGGGGTGGTCCTCAGCAACAAAAACAGCAGCAGCCATACGGCCAAGAGGGACCCCGAAGGGGTCAGTCGGGACAGCAGCAATTTGCTGGCGCACAACAGCGGCCACGTCAACAACAAGGATCAGGCTTCCCTGCCGGTGGAGGTTCGTTTTCATTCACTTGGAGTCACTGTTAATTTTATTTTTATTTAATTGCTCAGTAGAATCTGTACCACCATATAAGGACGTATCTTGCGCTGGGGTTCAACGGGGAAGCCTTGGTAAACAAGGTGTTTGTGAAGTTAATTATTTGAGAATGAACATTGATAAAATGTCCGACACTGCTTATCATTACGACGTGACCATTACGCCCGATCGTCCCAAAAAGTTTCTTCGCCCAGTTTTTGACCAATGTCAAAGACAGTATTTTAAGGACTATGTAATGGCTTATGACGGTTCCAAGAGCTGCTATTCAATAAAACGCCTTCCAAAAAAATCCTTTGACTATGAAGTTGAGGTAAGAAGAAAAACTTCTGTATAAACGGATATTTTCTATTTTGTATAATAATAATATTTCAGGTGCCGGATAGTGGAGGTCGAACAAAATCATTTACAATCCAAATAAAGGAAACCGATATACCTGAAATCGACCTGGCATCTCTACGGTCGTAAGTGCTCTCAGTGGAACTGAAAAGAGATTAACTAAACACTTGCTGTTTTCTAATTTTCAGTTATCACAACGATCGGGTGTTCGATAAGCCCATGCGTGCGTTACAGGCTTTAGAAGTGGTCCTAGCATCCAACAATCATGCACTTGGAATTCGTGTTGGTCGATCCTTCTATCGAAAGCCTGCGGAATTTTATGATTTGGGAGATGGTTATGAAATGTATACGGGCATTTATCAGGCCGCTATTCTAGGCGAGGTACCCTTACTCAATGTCGACATTTCGCATAAATCATTTCCCAAAACTCAACCTATAATTCAATACTTGAAAGAGTGCGGCATAGACACCAACCGCACGATTGAAGATTATCGTATGAAAAAAACTATTCTTCAGTTTTTAAAAGGCATAGACATTGTATACGCTCCGCCTGCTAGTTTTGGGGCTATACCCAAAAAAAAAAAAGTGATTGACATTGGAGATGCTCCTGCGAAAACGTTCTTCACGTTAGATGATGGCACAAAGATGAACGTAAAAGATTACTTTGCATCGAAAGGTTGTATCTTACAATACCCTTATTTGAATTGCATCACAACAGGTAGCACAACAAGAAAAATTGCCCTTCCAATCGAATTCTGTTCCGTTGCTGAAGATCAAGTTTTAAACGTGAGTTCAAAAATTCCTTGTTTAAAAAGTTTTTGTCATTTTTTTCATCCTTTATCGATTAAAGCGCAAGGATGGAAATATGCAAGTTTCCAAAATGATTAAATATTCCGCCACGTCTACAAACGAACGAAAAAACAAAATTATGAATTTAATGGCTCATTTTCGTCACAACGAAAATTCGACTATAAGATCCTTCGGCATACAGCTGGGTGGCAATTTTATAAAAGTTCATTTTCGCTTGCTGCCACCTCCAGAATTGGAGTATTGTGGCGGCAAAACTGCATGTCCACGCGATGGCGCCTGGCAACTGGCTGATGTAAAATTTTTAGAGACGTCAAAAGTTAACCAAGGACACAAATGGGCAATCGTTTATGAAAATAAAGGCCGACCCATTAACGCGCATTCGTTAGAAGATTTTAAAAAGGCGGTGAGCTTAAATTTATTATTTATTTGCACTTTCTTCTGGACTCTTTCTCCTTTGTGCAATATAATTCCCACTTAGTTCCAAAGGACGGCTCAACAAGTTGATGTAAAGTTGGCACAGGAAGGAGAAATAAGAGGTTTTCAAAATATTGATTGGGTGTTACAAGATCTTGCAAAGGAAGGTTATGCTCTGGTAAGACTAGTTCATATCAAGTGACTTTAACTTCCCTTCCATTGTACCCATTCCCATTTTAGGTAATTGTTGTATTACCAAATTACGGCACATCGTATTCTTCGGTAAAACAAAATGCAGAACTTAAAGTGGGGATATTGACTCAATGTATCAAAGAAAGAACTGTATTGCGTGCCCCTAAAGACGCATCGGTGATTCACAACTTAATGCTGAAAGTAAATGCGAAACTAAATGGTACCAATCACAAGGTGTCTGAAGAAAAAGAGGCTGGATTAAAAGAGCTTTTACAACCCATCAGTAATGTGATGTTTATGGGCGCCGACGTCACTCATCCCTCACCTGATCAACGCCACATACCAAGCGTGGTGGGAGTGGCAGCATCTCATGATGCTTATGGTGCATGTTACAATATGCAGTACCGTTTACAGAGATCGACAGTTGAGGAGATCGAAGACATGAAGTCCATCACTGAATATCATTTGAACGTCTACAAAAGCTATCAAAATCGTTACCCAGCACATATAATTTATTATCGAGATGGAGTTTCAGACGGCCAGTTTCCCAAAATAAAGAAAGACGAGCTGGGAGGCATACGTCGGGCTTGCGACCAAGCGGTACGACTGCTATTTTCTGTTTACGACTTTCTACCTCAACAATAATATCAAAATTTTTTATGTTCATATTAAGGGCTGTAATCCAAAGATCACTTGCCTAATCGTGGTTAAACGGCACCATACTCGCTTTTTCCCACTTCGTCAAAGCCAAGGTTATAGGGATTTTAATAACGTCGAGCCAGGCACTGTGGTCGATCAATATATTGTCCATCCCAACGAGAAACAATTTTTTTTGGTTAGCCATAAAGCTGTGCAAGGCACAGCTAAACCTACGCGATATAATGTTATCGAAGATGACGCTAACTTTAACATCGATCTGTTGCAAAAGCTCAGCTACAATTTGTGTCACATGTTTCCGCGCTGCAACAGGGCCGTTTCATATCCGGCACCTGCTTATTTAGCACATCTGGTCGCATTTAGGGGACGTGTATATTTGGAAGGGTAAGATGTGAAACAAGGCTTGTTTTTTTAAAGCAATTGCGTTCACATTGTGTATAATTTCAGTACAATGCGTTTTGGTAACCTGAAGGACGAATATAAGAAGCGATCTATTCAATCTGTCCTAATGAAACAAAATCCAATGTATTTCGTATAAAATAAGATCTATTAATGCGTCAAATTACATTTAAAAAATAAAATAAGCAGCTTATTCCTGCATTTTTCGTGGTTTATACAAATTTGAATCCAATAATCTCTTCAATCTGTCACAGCAGTCGTCCGTGTTATAATTTTTGGCGGGGGTCGAAATTTACGATAAACCTCGTCGTTTAAGCCCTCACGATTGCGTGCAATTTCTATAGCTAAAAACTGTATGCGCACCACTAGCAGCGAGTTTTCAGGTGAGAATTCTTTGGAAGCGTCCGCTCGCAAAAGCGTGCCGTACGAGTAATCTTCCAGTTTATTGAATTTTTCAGCAAACTGGCGCCAAGATAATTTGGCCTTAGTCGATTTTAGTATATCGTCGGTAAGCAAATCAATTTTCAAATCTGGGAAATCCTGACGAAAAGTTTGGTGAATTTGATCATCATAAGGAGTTAATCGCAACAAGGACGGATGAACACTGGTTAACAACTTCGAAAATAACATCATCAAAAATGGTGATTTAATTGCTTAATGTTTTCATTTCCTATATTACTCACATTGAAATAAATTTCGGCGTGATCCATAGCTTTAACTGCCCACATTTCTTCTACTAAACCGTCATTACCGAATTCTTCTGCTGGCCGACTCAGTAATGAAGCACTTTGCTAAAAGTTTAAGGCAAAACATGAATTGAATTTCCTAAAGATACTAATCACTTCCAGTACTAACCATTAAATCCATATTGTCTTTAGTTGATACAAGATTACAAAATAAACAATGAAATAAGCCCTCATTAAAAGTTATTCACGTGCTATAAAATGTTTTTGTTATTGCTTATTTTTAAATTACTATACGCAATTTTACAACACTGTGGGCTTAATGGGCAAAGTAATGCATTTACAAATCAATTTACAGTTCACAACTTCATAATTGCAAAATGAAAGTTTATCTTATATTTGACATTTAGCATGTTTACGCATCATGGACGGTTGGCCACAATCAATCGTAATACGTTGATTGCGCCACGCGAAAGTACTTGAACGCATATCTCATATGTTTTGCTAAGACTAGTTATTTCGTTAGCGTTTGTTACATAAACATTAGTGGAGTGCATAATTTCTTTTGAAAAGTAATTTTTTACAGAGAGAGGACGGAGGTTATAGACAAACTATGGTAGTAAAAGTGCCTTCAGCTGCAGGGCATTTTGAAAAATGATTGTCATAAAAATTGTTGTAATAGAAGATATCATACGTTTTCTTAGATAAATAAATGAAAACAATGAACAAATTTTCAGTTATAAGGAAAAATACAAGCGGAAACCATCCATTTAAAATGCAAAAACTGAACAAATTTATTATATTTACATCGGAGTTCACCGTATATAGGTGTGCTTTTTCAAATATTTCTCATCTTCAGTCTTTTTTTTTGGAATAACGAGATCTTGTAATCTATAGTCAACCGAGTTTTTAGCTACCTCCACCTCAGTTTACTCGTTAATTTTTTGTTATTTTTGGTTATAGTCAAACAATATCAGGCAGATAGTTATTTTAAAGGCCATAAGCATTGGATTTTATTTTTATAACTACATTGCTGTTTCGACTGTCAAAAACAACGCATGCAAAAATTTAAAACCATTAGCCAAATAATTTACGTCAAGCTATATGATTAATCACATATAAACACATCCAGTGTACAGTGCACAGCGATTTGTGCGGATTGTTCGTTTATAGATTACCATATGTTTAACTTTGTTCAGGCCTGGACAAAAGCATGCCCTGTGTAACCCTTTTTTTTATGAATTTTATACTTGTGTGTAAATTATATATACAATTTCAAATATATATATAACTTATATGTTATATAAAATGTAAAAATATATTCGTAATTTATGCAAATATATATGCAGAAGGGGATGAGGCAATTTCCTAATTAAATTTCATTGTGTTTTCCCCCTAAAAACGCGATCAAGGCTGCTTAGCCGTATTAAAATATTAATGCCATTTTAAAATCCCTATTCTATAGTAAAATAGTAGAGGAAGAAAAACATTAATCTGGCAATATTGTTCTCGATATTTCATTACTTCCGACTTTACGCTGTCAAAGTCTTTCTTTTTTGTGATTTTACGGCAATTGTTTTGGTGTAAGTTTCTATCGTTCTATTTAATAAATCAAAAAACATCGTTGTTTGTGCTAAATAACTTTTAAAATTATATCGAAAGTCCGTTCGGGAAAGATACTTATACTAAGAATATGTTAATATTTCCCTTAACAACGTCAACAATGGAAATGTGTGTAAATAAAAAAAAATTGCATACTCTAGCAATCTGTATAAACAATTTACTACACGTTTTCATTAACAATTATTGATTTTCAAAAATGTAATAATGTAAAAATGTATTCATAATTTTTATTGGTATTTTTTTACAGTACAATTAAACCACCGGTGACAATATGAAGTTGAACAAATTTGTCTCTTCCTCACGCAGAAAAAACCGTAAACATCATTTTCAAGCGCCCTCACATATACGCCGTCGTCTTATGTCCGCTCCTTTGTCTAAGGAATTGCGTCAAAAATATAATGTTCGTTCCATGCCCATACGTAAAGACGATGAAGTACAAGTGGTGCGCGGACATTTTAAAGGCAACCAAGTTGGTAAAGTTGTACAAGCCTACCGTAAGAAGTTTGTAGTTTACATTGAAAAAATTCAGCGAGAGAACGCAAACGGCACGAATGTGTATGTTGGTATACATCCCTCAAAGTGCCTGATAGTTAAGCTAAAGCTTGATAAGGATCGTAAAGCGATCTTAGAACGTCGCGGCAAGGGTCGTTTGGCGGCTTTGGGTAAAGACAAAGGCAAATATACAGAAGAAACAGCTGCCCAGCCAATGGAGACTGCATAAACTTTTATAGCCTAGGTGTGAAATATACAAAAGTTTTTTTTTTTTCTATAAAATAAAACTGGAAAAATTAAAACAAACAATGGGATCGAGATTAAAAAAAATACAATATTTATTCCCGTATATAAATCATTCAAGTGACTAAGGTAATTATTTGGCGGGATTAGTATGTAATTGTTTGGAAGAGAATAATTTGCCATGAAGAATTTATGCAAAGCATATAATAATTAGAGTATTTCAATTTTAAATTTAGTTCATAAACACTTCATTTGGCCTACAAAGGTTTTCTGTGTTGTCGTAGCAATGCCATGGATAGGAAAAGGCAGCCCTAGACGAAAAGTAAGTGCACTATTGGCGATTTGTTTATCGTTAAAAAAAATTGTTGTGCAATTTTCTCCCAGTTGTGTTCCTTTGTTCGGGTATACTTTAATATTTACATGGCAAATAAATGGTAAGACTTTTGTGAAATTTGCTGGCAAATGAAATAAAAAATGAAATAACTTAGTGCAATCCTCCATGAAAAATGGTTTTCGTTTACAAACGTAATCACTGAAATATTTCCTGAATAGTATGTAAACGTAATTGCGATCATTTTCCCGCTATAATAAACTATTATAATAGGCGTCGGGCACTTTGAGAAATTCATTTAATTATGTGCTTGTGTGGTAAATGATTCCCAGAAGTGCGGAAAGAGACTGAATACCATTTTTGTTGGTAAATTGAGTCAAAGGTAGTAGGTGCCGTTTTATTATCGCAACTAATGATTTTGATACAAACTTTATTTGTATTCTCACTTAAAACTTCGCATCGAACGCTTTGCCGCCAATGTTAAAGTGCATGATATAATATTCGTCTTGTAACCTTTAGAGATCCAATGATTGTTTAAATACTTCCCATTTAAATCTGATAAAATCATTGCCACAAGAATATTTAATTCAATTTGATTGATCGCAGTATATATTCGTCTGTTTGTCGCGGTTGTTATGACTACGGCTTTAAAGCTGCGCAGGCTTCGCTTTCGCTTATTCTTGTGTTGTGCGGTAGGATAATCGCTACTGTTGAAGGAAGAAAACTTTCTTAGCTCCAATATTTTTTTCCCCCCTTTTTTTAATGAACATGTGCACGTAACCAGTCTAGGGTAGAATCCATGACAGACGGGTTTCTAATATACCAATTTATTAAGGAAATGAGTTGTCAGGCCCGCATGCTTCAATAGAATGGCGTAAGTCTCTATCTCATTTAAAAAAATATTTTCGAAAACAATTCTAAGATCACTAAAGAAAAAAGAACAGCAACATTACATTGAGCGACATGGGAACTTTTTAAATGCGCGTAAGTTAAAGCCAACATTCACAAATGCAATGCTCGGGGCATACGTCAGCATTTACATTTATAATCTTTGGGATTTTCCAAGGCATATGTGCCCAAAAAAGCATTCTCGCTTTATTGTCAAAATTGACGAAGCACTTGTTATTTGAGTAAAAAACTTTTAGGAATCGACGTAACAATTGTCTTAGTTCTTTTATTTTTCAATTGCTTACAATAAAGCTTTGCATGAAGGCTTAAAATGAGGCTACGCTGCTCAATTAGGGACGCCTTAAAAAAATTTAAAAATATTTCTGTGCAGGTGTCCCTCCTATAGTACGTGCTGTGCTACATCAAAGGCGGATTATACAATTTTTTCCAATTTATTTATTTAAATGAAGATAAATTGAAACCTTGGCTTAATATACCATGTTGTATAGAAAGCAAATCTTATTACGATAACTGAAATTTCGCTTCAAATGTACATATAAAAATAAAAGAAGTAAGTAATCATCATCTGTTTGTGCAAAAAAAAAAAAAAAAAAAAAAAAAAAAAAAAAATTTTAAATTATAGGTAAAAGCAAAAAATAACAAGTAATGAAGTTATGTTTGGTGGGGACGAATCTCGTATGGCTACCCTCACGCTTTTCGCATTCTATTGTCCAAGCTCTTTTATTTGATACTCATATCGGTGTCATTATTCAGGAAAAATTAATCGGCGGCTTCCATGTCTATCATGTTCATTTTAAAATTAATCCATTTTTAAGCAGATAATCTGTCTTCATTGAAGGAACGTAGAAAATAGTTTTAAACAGCCTGTCTTGTTTGCCTTATGATAAAAAAGCATAAAATTTCAAAAAAGTGAAAAACACAAAATTTAATTACTTGTAACTTTGTGTGCGCATAGCCGATTGGTTCCATTTTTCGACATAAAGAGTAGAGTGTATCTAAACTTCTAAACATTCTAACTTCTATAATTTCTGATTAACGAGCAAAAACGCACAAATTTTTGTTAAGAAAAACAGGGTTGCGTTCAGCTTACACCCTACTGCGGGCTTCTGCTCTGACCTATTTGGACCATTTTCAATACCAACCTGCGTGCAAAAAACTTTCAATGTTTCTTCTAGCACTTGTGAAGTCGATGTCTTCGTTTTTGCGACGAGGAGAGTGCCAACAACAAACACCACACAGACAAACCGACGGACAGGCATGATTCAATCAATTCAGAATTTTCCGCTTATCAAAAAAATATATATATACATTATCGGGTCACTGGTGAAAAATAAAACAAAATAATTATACCCCCAACCTTCGGTGGTAGGTATAAAAAATATTAATGGCGATGATTATAAAATTAATTTTTATCAAAAATTATATCTTTGTTATTTTTTTTTGTCAAAGTTTGTTGGAACTGCTCTTATCAACGATAAACGATGAACGCGTCGGGCAACGGGAAAAGAAAATCCAGCGGAATATATATTCAATTTTTTTTTAAATTGTGTTATATTCAAACCATTTTATAGTAATTGCAAATTTCATAACCTGTTGCATCGAAACAGTGTCTGATAAGTACCGTACTGGACGAGGAACGCTTGTACAAAATTATAAATAGCTTAACGGAGTCCTATAGATAAAACTATGAAACCAAGTAATAATTGTTAATAAATGTTAATAAAGCTATTCATAACCATGCTTATGTTATTCTTTATGTAACATTTCGATTTGAAATTAAGAAGAAAAAAAAAATGTAGCAAGCGAAGCAATTTTTAATTTTAATTCAAAATGCTTCGAACGGAAAACGTTGTCGTTAAGTTTACTTCAACTTGTATATGCTAACTAAGCAGCTGAATACTATAAAAGTTAATTTTATTATTATTATCATACACATATTTGTAACTTCCAGGTTTGGCGTGTGAAATTCTAAAATCGAATTTCAAGGGCATTTATCGTAGTTTGTTACCATGGGTTCTTTCTCAATGATTCTCAATTTATGCCAGATATAGGTTTCACGTTGAATCATTATGGAATGGTTATGGAATGTCGAATGCGCTCGAACGGACAGACGGACATGCTTAAATTGATTTAGTATTTGATGCTGATCAAGAATCTATATACTTGGTGGGGTCTCTGATGCTTTGTTGTGTGCATTGCAAACGTTTTGACAAAAGGAATATACCCCGCCATACCATATTTGTATAAACAATGCGCTCTTTAGAGAATAAGCCAGAATGCGTTGGTGGCTCTAATCGTTTGATGCATATTCCGCATCGTCGATCGGGGGGTATAACAATCGACCGAATCGAATGTTTCGATTTCGCGTGTAATTTCGTGAGCGGAAAGATTGTGCTCATCTAAGCGTTACAAGTATTAGTGCTTTTCGTTTCCCTAGCTGTAAGAGAAATGAGGGATAAAAAAAGTTTTGATTTTAGTTCGAAATTAAGAGCAAAAAAAAAATGTAAAAATCTTTTTGAGAGAAGTGTCTAACATATATATAAAATTACATGTATTTTAAGATAGATAGAAAAGCGATCATAATGCAATGTCTACGTTTTCGTCCTTCGATAAGAAATGACTTGAAGAAGCGAACGTGTTCATTGAGCTATTGCATGACGAAGTCAATTCAAATTGAAAGCGAGATGAGGGTATACAACTGTCGGCCATTGCCGTTGAGCAGATCTAATTTTATAACAAGAGAGTATAAATTTTGCTTAATAACTCAAATTCATGATATTTTTCGTTGAGATCAAAGACAATAGGTTGGAGGGAAAGTTCTGTCATATTTTATTCATGTACTTTGCTTTAACACAAACGCAAGAGATTTAATGTGATCTCCAACAGTTGTATGATGAATGCCTAACTCTTCTGCGATTTCTCTACTTGTTAAATGTGGATTATTAGGCTCAGACCCCGGAACGAAATTTGCTAAATCATTTTTGACAAGTACGAACATTTACAATATCTTTTCCAAATACCGCAAATAAATTTTTACATGCCGCCGATGCGTTACTTCATTTTGGAATTCATACAAAATGCAGTGTCATAAATGCACTTTATCTACTGACACGTTTTTCACTTTAAATATTACAAGTAAACGATGAACGGTAAAAAAAAGACTCCTTTTATATTATACAGCGGCTCAAAAAAACAAAAAAAAAAAAAAAAAAAAATCTGAAGGACTCACTAGCCAGGTGTTTTTTTTATTTACAAGAAAAATTACCTGCCTATTTAAAATACGATAGAACTTTTCCTCCAACCTATTATATGCATGCTTGCATATATATATAGAGTTTCCAATTGCTGCCACTATAATTTATATATATATATATATATATATATATCTTTATATACTCACATATTTATGCACATTTATTGTAATATATATTCAAAAATCTAATATAATTATATAATCGTATTCAATAAGAAGACAACTGTAGCCCATAAGCTTCCTATATAATCGTCGCTCTTTTTCCTCACTCTCTATCTTATTTCTATGAAAGAGAAAAAGGCAAAACAGGTTTGTTTAAAGGGATCTTGCCTGAATCTATCAACGTTAGCTCGCAGTCAGAAATTATAGATTGACGTGTACACTATACACTATAGTGTGCTGGTGATTTGTGCTGTGGTTTATTGTAATAGAATTAATTTAAACTATCATATACATCTATACGTACATATATATATATATATATTTAGTATAAAATGAATGCTTTAAGAAAATTACCAAAACGTTTTGTAAGTGAACATGTGGATGCATACATATATTTGTATATATCTGTATATGTATATATATGAGCTAAGTAAGCTATTTTCATAATGAACTATCTATTTTGAATAGATCTTTAACGCTTTGCGTCAACAACAACAATGTGCAATGTCCTCGGTCAACGCCAGCACGCCCCCTCCTTTGATTTCTTTAACCGAGGATGAAAAGGTGATGAAAGAAACCGGTAAGCAATTTCAGTACTTATTCAATTATTTTTTTGACTTCTTATATATCCATCAGATAAGGATAAGTAAGTTGATGTATGAAAGTGTGATATATTAATTTTATCATTCAGTTTGCCGCACGTAGCATTATACATTTAAAGTTGATCTAGATATGCTAGTTCGTCCATCGGTTTTCAAAATTACTTATCATAAATATCTTGCCTCAAAGGGAGCTTTTAATCAATTAACGGATACTCCCAACATTAGAAAATAAAAATTTTTCATGATTCCTGGATGCTAGTTGTCTTACTAAAATTGTTCAAGCAATTTTCACAAGCAACGCAAGATCAATACCAACAGATAGAGTTGTATTCATGTTGATATTCGTGTGGGAATATCTCTCAAATAAACATTACTAAGTTTATAAGTGTTAAATGCCTCCTTTTTTTTTTTTTTTTTTTTTTTTGCTTGGCCATATATGCTTTCGGTTTAATTCTAAGCCAGTCAAAAAAAAAAAAAAAAAAAAAAATCAGTTGGATTCGGTTCGGTTGATTCATGTTCAAGCCAGGTCTGGATTTGTAAATAGTAAAGAAAGTCTAGGGTATCCAAAATTCGTTCCGAGTTGAGTATTATATGTTCTTATATGTTTTTATTTTTATTATGTTAGAATTGTAACAGATAACAGTAGATTCACAACGTCAGCAAGCGTTCATAACTCGAACCATTTGAAGGTCTGGTTGTTTCCAGTTATTGCTTTTAATTTCTTTTCGTCTTGCTTTCCATTATTATTTATTATTACACGCTAACAGGCAACATGCTATTACCGGTCTTTTGCTCTTGTTCTTATATATTACGTAAATACTAATTCATTTTTATCGCTTACAATACTCACGCCTCGACTTTTTTTTTTTTTTTTTTTTGTTTCAGATATATAGGAAACATTCTAGTTTCATATTTTTGTTGTTTTACATGACAGCTTTTTAAAAATTACTAACTAGCCCTAATAATGGACGTGGCCATGAAATTCGCATCTGACGTTTCGATCTTTTTAAGCTAATACATTTTCATAATTAACTGCGCATCGATGTGGGTGTGTGTGTGTGTGTGCGTGTGTGTGTGCGCGCGCGAATGTATGTGTTTGTGTTTGTTTATGTGAATGTGTTGTGGGCATGTAGACATGTATGCAAGCGTGATCGGCTAGTGAATGTTAAACATTTCATGATTTACGTTGATTGGGAGGGAGAAGCAACTTTAGATGAAAGAAAAAAACAAAAAAAAAAAAAATCTGCTTATTTTACAAACAAAATTTATAGTGAAACGCCATTGGCGAATTTGCGTTTTTTCTTTTATTATTATATTAAAGTATTTATTATTACAATTATTTATACGAATTTCTTTTCAACATAAGCTTCTGCAAACGGAAAGAGAAAAAAAAGAACGCCCCTTTATGTATTATACATTACCTTTATGAGAAGAAAAACACTTTAATTAAATTAATTTTAATATTTCGTATTAATTGAACAATTGTTATCTTATCAAGATCAGGATTCAGCGGTTAAGGGCATGCTGATCTATTCAATCAATAATACGATATTTTGAATACGTTGTCTTTTTTATTGTCTCGTAAACCTCATGGTTTGGTTGAAAGTTTTTCCTAAAAAAAAAATAAAAAAATAAAAACCAATACTAGACGTGTATATAAACGTATATTGCGTAGAGTTTCATGTCCGGTTTTCTCAAATCCATTTTCCATTGAAATTTTTATTATTAAAGAACTCTTGTTTTTTTTTAATTCATATCAAAATTTCTATTATATTAAAAAAAAATCATGGAATTTTTAATTCTACGAGCTTGCTTTAATGCAATCGCCATCAGAAGGCCTGCTAATGTCACCCTTTTAGTTTTAATATTCAAAGAATACGTATGCGGATCCATTTATATATGGAAAGCCCAGCGTAGCAAATTTTCAGCTGGCTAGCTGATCTAAGGTCGTAAATCAATTTGTATAACTAAAATCAAGTGCTGGATATCTTGACTTGGCTCAAACGCTGCGTTGAGTATTTTAGCTTTTTAGCTGTCAATATGATGTATGCGAGTATACTCAAATCGGGTTTTGCGCAATTTCTTTTATGCAATTTTTTTTATGCCGTGTATGAAAATTTCAATCAAATTGACGAAGTTATCGCTAAAAAAAAAGTTTACAAAGTTCGATCGGCCCTTTAGAATATATTCGCATTTGTATTGTCTAGATCAGATTCCAAAAGGTTTGATGAGATTCCAAGTAGCCGCCAAGCCTCGTGCCTTGATTTCGTTTAAAAAAGCAATTCCTATTTATTTTGTTAGATTCTGAGTTATTTTCTAGATGAGATTTTTTTTATACGGTCCCAATACGCCGCATAAAAAAAAACTTTTTAATCGTGTTCCGAAAACTATATTTTATAGCTACTCGTGAAGTTTTTTGAGACTTTTTTTTTTGTACGTTTTCTTTTATACGGTCTCTATTTACCGTACAAAAACACCGTCACCATCACTTTTAAAATGCGTGTCGTTTTTCTCTTATAGTTTCAATCAACCGTATTATGCCAAATATTGGTTTTTTTTGATCGATAATATTTCACCAGTTTTCTGGTAAAACCATTGTACTCTTAAAGTTGCACCAGATAATAATCATAGATTTCTTTCGAAGTCAGATTTATATATATAGGATACTGTATGAAGGCTCGAAAAAGGGACTGATAGTCGGGTGTCGCAAGGTCCAGATAATATGATAAATGGTCATTAAAGATATAAATGCTCAAGCATTGTCGCGATTGAAGACGCCTCTGCTGTTTATCAATTCTGAATGATTTATCTCAATTACGAGTTTTATTAAATATTTCGAGGATGTGCTTTGATCACTATTCACTTGCGCTGCGATGTCGTGAAACGAAGTCATTCGTAAATATTATTAAAATTTTTGAAGAACTCTATTGTTTGGTCCAAGAATGCGTGATTTAGGCTCTTCTGGGTACCGATTGAATTAACTCAAATTATATATATACTATCTACTATCACCTTTCACATATGAATAAGAAAAATGGCTTCACAAGGTTAGTCCTATCAAATGCATTTAAGCAAATAATGGGAAATATTTTGAAACTAATGCGTTCTTCCACTTTTCACCTGAGAAAATATGTGAATGAAATCTATGAGTAGTACGCGACTGGGTCACACATGCATATATATGATTCATGTAAGTCCGCAAAAGCGAAACATATGAATGCATGAATGCATGGAGAAAAAAAAAAAATAAATAAATATATATATATATATTATTATTATGAAAGATTGATAGTAGAATGGAAAATTTTTACGACACTAACTTATAGTCAAAAAGTGTGCTATCTTTTATTATTTTACAAGTTTCGGAACATTCAAAACAATATTTATGTTTATCGGTATAAAAAATTGCACATAGCTACCGTATTAATGATTAGAAAAAAATAAATAAATAAAATAATAATAATAGTTTTCGCATGCACATGCATACGCACTTGTGCAATTCAAATCAATGTCACGATCACGCACGTTGTTCAATAATTCCGCATGTGATTGACCCCAATTTGCTAATATCCGCTCTTTGAATGGGCATACAAAAATAAATAAATAAATACATTGTATTTACAATTTATTAAATGAAATAAATACTCGAGCATTCGCCCATTTGCAGAGTGTTGCGCTAGTGCTGCGAGTTAACACGTGTCGTATGCTTTGCTTTTATTAAATTTATTAAGAGACAGCGGTTCAAAGCCAGTTTGTATTTTTATAATAAGAGTTTTAAGAGTAAAATAAAGTACATACAGCACAACAATGTTAATGTGTATGTGGGATTGTGTGTGCTGCGAGATTTCTTCTTTAAAAAAGAGATTGTCTTTCATTCACAATTCACAAGCTAGTCAGCGATTTAAATTTGCTTTATTCATATATTTAAATGGCGTTAAACTTGTGATATAATAAAGGGTGTTATATACTGACGGAGGGGGGTGGGGTGGGTTACCTACCCTACCCCAAAATATCTCCAGTCTATAACCGGGGGGGATTTTTGAATGCTTAACGCCTGCGAATCGGGTTTTACTGTTCTAGTAAGCTTGTGTGTGGGTGGGTGGGGGTGGTGGATATCCATCCCACCGGGTATTCTCTCTCCCTTTAACTTTCTTAAGAGAGTTGAATTTAAGTTGTAAACAAAACTAAATTCCTTAGTTGGAAAGTTGACAAAACAACAAAAACGTCTTTCGTCGTCACGAGACTGCCTGCCAGCCAGCCTGACTGTGTCTGGCTTGATAGCCAGATAGAAATATTATTATAGCCTCGGAAAATTATGATCGAATGCGGCCAAAAGATTTCTTCTCAGTCAGATAATATTCAAGCATTCTCAGAAAATACGATTTCTTTTCCAACAGCTTTGTAGAAAATCTTTTCTAAATACGGTTTTTTCCTACGCTTAGGTTCATAGTCACTTTATAGAAGTAATTCATAAAAGAAAACGTAAGAAAAAAAAAATGTATTCTTTGACGTGTTATTGCGCTATATATATACGTATTAAGGGTGAAGGACATTCATTGGTCGATTTGAGTTTGGGAAGGGATTCAAGATAGAGCCGTACAAAAAATAATTCTTTCTGCCTGTCTGTCTGTCCTTGTAATATTTTCAACCTGTAGGTCATAATTTTTGATATATTCTGTTAAATGCTTGGTACACTAACGTTTGACGGCTTGGATGGGCCATTTTTCGACCACTTCCCATATAACGCCTTTATTTTAAAAAGTCTTAATTTGCAAAATTCGTCGACAATAATTACTGGACGAATTTCCAATAGTTCATGGTGAGAATTGTTCCAACAATCTTATCGAATTTCGACCAAGTAGGTCTGTTGTTTGAATCGACGATCCCGCCGACAATGTAAGAGTTCTCATCCGAAATAAGCCATTATGTGTGAAAAGCAGGTTCTAATATTTAATAATCTATGCACGGTGCAAATTATTTCATAGTAATAAATTGATTTAGAACTTGATTGGAATAAACCTAAACCAAATAGACTAGGACTCCATAACGCATAACGGTGCTCATGAATAGTAAAATTTTTAGCGAAATTGCTGCTTCATTTTCAACAGTTTGTAATGATAATTGGTTTTCGGTAGCACTTTGTCGTAACAACTTAACCGCCGGGCATATAGATGACATAGGTCTATTTGTTAGATCTCATCGTATATAATGAATGTTGCAATGAAGGGCAAGTCCTTATATGGTAACAAGATCGAATTTGTAAGTTTTTATGGCGAGAACAGATAATAAATTAATAATAATATCTTTAATAAATATACGGTTGTGTGTGTTGACGTTTTCCGCGTCCTCCAATGTTAGTGTCTTTCTTCATAGTAAGCCTGTACATCGAGAGAAAGTGTAATTTTTGTTGTATTATCACAAAAATAGCTGGATAACTGTATTGGCATAGAGTGATGTAGGGCGCGTCAAGAGAGCTAAGATTTTGCAAATATATTATTCCTCTTGCAGTTATACTCATTCCCTGTAACTGTAAAATTGATTGGAATAAGTAGAAAAGTTGTATTCGCCTTCGAATGAATATTTTGCCTCAATCATCTTAAGGAATATGCTATTAACAGTGATTAGATTTGTTTCCTTATTCAACTAAATGAGTAAATATTTGCTCGTAACTTGTAGATTAATATATCTGCCGTGATGATATATACATTTTTTGTGCCGATTGCAACTGTCTCTCCATTTTCATATTTAATTTATAAGCATCAAATAGGTAAGTGTTTCAGTAACTAGGCAGAGAATTGCTTGCATAAGCCGATATCGACTAAAAGCCCTACCCTGATCTTCAGAAATCTTTTGAAATTGTATTGTCGAAGTAATTCGAAAACAATGAATTTCGCTGCTTGCATTTAACATTAGCTATAATAATAATAATAATTCTTCTTCGCTATGTGAGTATAAAAATCATTTAAAATAATTAAAATTTATAAAGACGATGTCGGCATTTCCCATATCTCAAATTTGTAATCTCAATCTTTTCATGTATTAGTTGTAACTACGCACACAACAAACGCACATTGACCGCAAGCAAGGTAATTTATAATTACAAGATCAAGTACGTATGCGAAGATCTATGCTATGCTCACGCACATGCCTACAACACGATCAGTAATTATGAGAATAATATGTGCTGTGCTCAAAAAAAGTTGAGAGCGTCAAAGAGCAAATCTTGATTATCTCTATTCATTCTCAAAAGAGTCTAAATGGCAAGCAACGAATATAATGTGTTTCATATACCGTCCGCTTATGCTTTAGCCGATATATACTTATCGATCGATATGTATTCAATTTGCTTATAATATGTTTAATGCATTGCCAAAAAATCGATTCGATTGCTATTTAGTTTCCAAACCGCCGAACGGTATCCATAAGCTACCCAATAATTGGCAAAAAACTATAGACATAGAAGTATAGCCTGACTTAGTAACTGGAACAGTTGGAGAACTTTATTCCATTTTTGAAGAGAGAAAAGTCTCTGCTTTTAATTAATTAACACGGGGAAACCAAAAAAAGGCGATTGAAGGCAGAAAGCGCTTTAAAATGCCATAGCAGATAAAACGGAATACTTGCTATCGCCTGAAATGAGAAAGGAAAGGAAAAACATGAAGCTTCCATTGCACAAAAAGAAACCAAGGAGGAGTACACTTAGCAGCTGCGTTACAGAAGTAGTGAACGAAATAGTGACATCCGTTATATCCTATACTATGTTTTAATGATATTATATATATGTATGTATGTATGTATGTATGTATTATTGTATGTTTAGTTGTTATGTTTGCACATTTCCTATTGTGACGAAGTGACAAAATAAACTGTAAGCACTTATCGGAAGCGTATAGTCCCTCTAGAATTGATATTGCTAATTAGTATTTAATTTGTTTGCTATAGTAAGCGCTAAAAACGTAGATAAATTAATAGTTTCTTTTCATTCATTTACTTATTTATTTTTACTTTTTATTTTTTATTTTCTACCATTTATATATTTTTTGTGATCAAAACTGTCCTAGGTCATGATTTTTAGTTAATGATTATTATTATTTGATTTAATTATAGAGCCGACTCGATAGTTTTTAAAGCAATTGTAATTTAATGCTCATTATTTTTAAATTCTATTTGAATTATATTTATGTAAAAAAAAAAACAAAAAAAACTAAAATTAACATTTGCTATTTACATTCTTATTTAAGAATATTATATACTTGCTTAATTCTAGATCATTATAAATGCAAAAATCTGCAATGTTATAGGCGAGCAAGTAATCGCATTCATCACCCTACCCTACCTCATCCTAATTGACTTAATACAATTCTTCAATTGTTTTCATTGTAAAAAACCATAAATTAGACATTCATGCTCATCCTTATAAGGAAGTAAGCCCAAATAGATATAGGTCATTATGATTCAAATTTATCATAGCATATATATCAGATTACAGGATGAATTTGCGGTTAATTTTCAACGAAATACTAAGCATAAACGATCCGGCCAACAAGGTAAAGAGTCTCTTAATGGTCGTGGGTTCGAATCTCAAGTGCGGTAGAGTTTTTTTTTTTTTTAATAATGCCTTAGATAGCCAACCGTCTTAGATGAATGCTTCTCTGACTAATTTCATAATAATAATAATAATAATAATAATATAGATGAAAATATAAGAAAATTATTCGCCCCTTTTCGTGTTTGTCTCAATTTCTAATCTGATAATAATAATAATAATAAATTCAGTCGTCATATGCACAATGAATTTCTTTTGCAATAATCCCTACATGGAAGGAGGAGGTCTCTTTATAATATTTTTAAATATTATATATCACCGATTTTCGTAAGAAGCAACAACATCTTACATTATTTATGGTAAAGATATATTAAGTTTTTGCGAATGTACGCTTAACTCGAGATCGGCTCAACTTTTATCAAACCACTTAAATGAAAATAATTTTCTGATTTTCAATGATTTACGTGGTTCTTTTACATATTTTGACCGAATAAATTGGATAATCGGATAATTTTTATGAGCAAAATTCCATGTAAGGTTTATATCTTTGATGGAATATATTTGCAATAGGATAGGATTTGCAATAGGACGCACATTAACAAGGGCAGATATCAAGTAGAAAAACATTTTGGATGGAAAATAATGAAAAAAAAAGTTATGAATTTTATGCATTGGATCAATGATAACTTTGACATAATTCTATTTTGCAGTTGCCAAATTAGCCCAAGAGCAAATAGCGCCATTTGTGAAGAAAATGGATGAAAATCACAAATTTGAGGAGTCGGTGGTTAAGGCGATGTTTGAGAACGGTCTAATGGGTATTGAAATTGATTCCGAATTGGGTGGTAGTGCTTGTAACTTCCTAACAACTATTCTGACTGTGGAAGAACTTTCGAAAGTTGATCCTGCGGTAGCCGCTCTAGTTGATATTCACAATACCTTAGTGAATTCATTAATTATGAAAGTGGCAACGAAAGAGCAAAAGGAAAAGTATCTACCAAAATTAGCTCAGGAGTATGTAAGTAATGATATAATGTAAGAAAATTATTGCCAGAATTAATGCCAGAACTTAAATAATCTTATATGTTCAGCCTGGCAGTTTTGCCTTAACTGAGCCTGGTTCCGGTTCGGATGCGTTTTCGTTAAAGACTGTAGCTAAAAAAGATGGCAAACACTATGTGATCAATGGCACGAAAATGTGGATCTCTAATTCCGATCTGGCTGGCTTATTTATTGTCTTTGCTAATGCTAAACCTGAGGATGGCTATCGCGGTATTACAACGTTCTTAGTAGAACGTAACACTCCTGGTTTGACCATTAACAAACCTGAAGATAAATTGGGTATACGTGCTTCCGGCACCTGTATGCTCACTTTCGAAGACGTTCGTATACCTGAAGAGAATTTATTAGGCACCTTTGGTCACGGTTATAAATATGCAGCTGGTTTTCTAAACGAGGGCCGTGTAGGAATTGCTGCCCAAATGATTGGTTTGGCTCAGGGTTGTTTTGATCACACGATCCCTTACTTAATGGATCGTAAGCAATTCGGTACCGAGGTTTACAATTTTCAATCAATGCAACATCAAATTGCTGCCGTGGCCACTGAAATAGAAGCAGCTCGTTTGCTTACTTACAATGCCGCCCGTATGGTTGAGCATGGCATACCATTTGTAAAGGAGGCTGCTATGGCGAAATATTATGCATCCGAGGTGGCTCAACGCGCTACTATCAAATGTATCGACTGGATGGGTGGCGTTGGTTTCACACGTGACTTCCCACAAGAAAAATATTATCGTGATGTAAAGATCGGTGCAATATACGAAGGCACCACCAATATGCAGCTCAGTACCATTGCGAAATTAATCAAAAAGGAGTATACACACTAAGAGTACAATGGACTTCCATGGATAAAATAGTGTAAATATTGAAGATAGCGTTTAGTTTTAAATGTGCAAGTGTTTGCTTATCCTTGACTTTGCTGTTCTACGCTACCCTATCCCTTGTACGCCCATTATTCCTCGTAACAGATACCAAAAGTGCATTTACATATTTAAATTATTGATTACAAACAAATCCACGTTCAATTTCAATTTAGTCAATAATTTGAAAAAAAAAAAAAAAGAAAAAAACAAACGTTGACTTTATTATTATTTCATATTTTTGTGAAAATTTGTAAAGTTATAATTGCGTGTTAAATTTGTATATAAAAATCGCATAAATATACATACAAAAATGAAGCTTGATAAAAAATTTGCATTCAATTATTTCGCGTCAGCCGTTGATGTAGTGGTAGTTGTAAATGCAGCCAACAGAATATTCACCACCGAAATAATGAATACACCGCCAATTAGAAATTCGTTAAAACGTTTATTGTGACAACGTCGAAAGCGACGCTAGATAAAAAAGCCAAAAAACCAATAAAAACGAAAGGAAACAAGGAAAAAAGAAGAAAAGGAAAGTAAGAGGAAAAATTATTACCTTAAATATTAACGCTATACCAACTAGGACTTGCAAAATTAACGATATCGCCACCAGCGTAAGACTTATATAAAATGTTGATGCTTGGTGATTATAAGTTAGCAAAAATCTTAATTGATTCGCATTCGCCGATAGTAAGGCGATGTCCATAAGTCCTTCAGCCGCGTTTTTATTAGCCGCATATATTTGCATATTCGTTCGATTGCCATCTTCTAAACGCATGGCATGATGTTGCTCCCTTTTTGAGTCTAACAAGTCCGAAGATTGCGGCAATGCGTCAATTTCAGTTACATTGTTTTCCGATTGATTTTCTTTTAAAATATCACTTCCACCACTGGCGCTATTAAACGATTGTTCAGTGCTGCTAATGGTGGTCGATGCTGTTGACGTTGTTGCCATCCTGTTTCCGTATCGGCACCTTCTTTTCACTATGCTTTATTTTGATATAATTTTATATATATATCTCCGTGCGCTCCACCTCGTTAATCGTACAAAATGTGTGAATAATTGACTTAATTACGAGTTTATTTAAAAATTGCGGTTTCAGTTTGTGGTCGTTTGCGATAATAGGATAGCGAAGTGATATGCACGCTTAGTTGGATTGATAATAATAACATAACATACTTCAGGGAGAAGGCATTTTTTTTATAACCAATTAGCCGGAGGGATAACTTTAAAAAAATGAATTAATAACATATGGCAACGCAGTTTGCTGCAACAATTAAATGTTTGAATTATTAATGTACCGCTCGTGGTATAGGCTCGCTCTGATATAGACTCGTCTGATGCCTATCCATGTGATATTGTGCTCAAGATATAGATTGCAATTTGTGAGATATTTTGATGAAATTTGGTACGTTGCCACACTTTGATCCTAGGACGAAAGCTATTCAAAATTGTTTGGATCGGTCCGCTTTTTCGATCACTTCCTTTATGACGTCCTATGTTGAGAAGTTAATGTAAGGAAAAAAAGTTCTAATTTTCAAAAATTTTCGACAAAACTTGCTCGCGTAATAGTATTTCGATATACTAAATTGATATGAAAAATTTGATTCGGATGGGGTAATTTCTTCAATCCCTTCTCTTACAACCTTCCCTACAACAAAAGAATCTTTATATGGTAAACAAAGTCTAAATCTCAATATTTTATTGTGAAAATTCGTTCATAAGAACAAATTGATAAAGAAATAAACTTTATCAAATTTGGACCACGTAGGTCAATTTTTTCTATACCACCGCATATTTATTGATTTAAACTTACGGTAAAAGCCGCACAGGTCAATACGAGTACAATGGATTGATAATTATAGTAATTAATATTTACAAATACAAATACGTGGTCATAGCATTGGCCTTACCACCTAGAACAGCTCCACAGCTAATAATGGAAAAAATACAAAATCAAAACAAGTCCCTATCAGTATTAACTCAGCCCAGGTCACCCGAGATTATCCAAGTAGTAATCATGCATGACAGCGAAAATAATCGACAAGTTTAGGACGAAAAACATTATTAGAATATGAGAAGGCACGGAGTTCATACGGCAACCAGTCTAGGGATCCATTGGAAGCAAATTTGAGGATTTCGACTACAGTGCTGGAATCTAAACTTATCGCATAAGACCAATGGAAAACCACGTAACCATAACCAAGTTACGACATTTAAAGAAAAACCAAGCAAACTTTGGACATACGACAAAATGTGATCTTTCCGTTCGATGTTACATACGATTCTAAACATTACCAGACGCAGAAATAATCTCAAACAATAAACAATACGCGACGTAAGAAGAGCATGAACCAATTTCCATCTAATGTGCAGAGTTGTATATAACTTATTAGTAGCATAGATCATCCTTAGAGTATTCCGAACTCTGTCAGATATTATGTTCACATGCCTATCAAAAACTTGGTCCTTAATGAGATGTTCGGCAATCACGACATGGTCGGTCTATGATCATCAGCATTCTTGATAATTCTAGACTTAAAGAACGACACGAGCAGGTTTCCAAAGACTCGGAAACTATTAATGATATCTAGCAAAAAGATCGAGATTAGTGGAGATACGAGTGTACCAAAACTTATCGGAATATTCTCAATACCAACAGACCCAAATTTCTCTTCCTTCAAAGCAGATCTTGGTTGAGCGTCATTAGAAACATTATGATCTTCAACGAAATAACTCCTCAACAGATCAATATCACCATCCTAAGCAATATCTCTGCTGTTGCGCACACATCCACAATTCCGCCGTATCAAGTACCCCCCATAGACATGTAAACAATACTTTCTCTTCTTTCTCTTTCTCTCTCGCTCCTTATAAAAGCTTTAGCCCAATTTCAAAGTCCGCAATTTTTCAGGTTTCATAAGTAGGAGTCGATCTAAATAGTGAAAAAGCCAAGGCTCTTATGGGCCACGCAAAAGAAATGTACCCATAATTCATCTACGCATTGTTATTTTCTTCACAAACGAAACAATCGAAAAAGGATTGGCAAGAAGCGAGGAGAAATTGGCACATTTTGCATCCCCATGAGGATAGTCGAAAATTAGGCTGCTATCGAAACGAGAGAGACATTGACATAATCCGCTCCAATCAAGTCAAGTGTTGCAGTCACACCTATTCAGTAAATCTACAAGACGACACAGCAACAAAGCTACAACTCGCGATAATTAGTGCATGATCCGATATAGTGGAACACTGCATCTGATCGGATAAGCTGAACATGAACATATCACTTATTAAAAAATAATCTAGTAACGATGTGGAGATATTGGCCCAAATATAGTGCGTAGGTTTGGACTTACTTACGCCTTCTTACACCACCACCTTCTACCGAAAAACATAGCGAGGAAAGCTAATAGCACGATCAGAAATATTGCAGTCAAACCATGTTTCCGAGGCAGTTAATATATCAGCCAAGCCGTCCCCTAAAAGAGTACCAATCCCATCAAGTTTGGGAGAATTTTAGGAGGGTCCAATTGCTCTGGCAATTTAAATGATCAATTTTAAGTTGGCCATAATCATATTGAAAGTAGATTCTCAAATAAGAGCCAGCACAGACAAAGGGATTCATGCTCTTACTAGAAGACATCGAACGCAGTTAGAAAGTTGCAAGACCTACCACTATATATGACATACCAAAAAACAACCCATATCCATTCGAATCATTAAACGTAATACATTAGCGGGCTTAGTACACTGCAAATGCAAAAACCCATTACCCAGACCGAGTAGCTAAAGTTATACTGCACAATCAGCCTGAGTAGCCGAAGGCGAGGAATCTCGACTAGCAAGTCAATGGTCGTGAGTTCGAATCTCAATTGTGGCCTAATTGTGGTTTAACTCAAGAAAATAAGGCAGACAAATGGACGGGTGGACAGGCGGAAAGACAAACTTAAATGAAAGCGGAAAATAAGTGATTCTGCGTCGAAAGCTATAATGAAAGATGGGTCTGTTCCAAGTTCTTCTCAGTGTTGCCGAAATCGCCACAAACTTAACGCACTGTTATATCGCAAGTGGTGTAGGGTATAAGAAGCGTATCAAATATAATTTTTTCAAAATTTTTGCAATTATTTTTTTTATATTGTATAAATATTTTTATTGAATTTAATTCTTTTTTTTTTTTTTTCTTTTTTTATAATTTTTTATACAACATTTAAAATTATTTTTTATTACAGGTTTTAAAATTGCTTATAAGTAAATATTTTTTCTTCTTCTTTTTTTTTTCATTTTGTTCGTCAGTAAGTTTATCAAAATTAAAACATACATTGTGCGAAAAAGTGATTTTAGAGGACATTTCAAAATGCAGTTGAAATAGTTTAGTGCAAAACGTTTCTTAAGCGTGCTATTCAAAACGCAGCGGTTTACATAGGAAACTCTTCCTTTCCGCTTAAAAATATTTACAATAATTTTGTTTTTCTTTTTCTTTTTCTTTGTTTGTTTGTGACTGAATTGAATTTATTATTATTATTAGTATTTTTTTTTTCTTTTTTATGTTGAGATTTTTCATTACGTTCGAGTGTAATGGCGGCTGGATAAAGGAGACAATTTTCGAATTTTTCCGATTTTCCAATTTTCGGATTTTAAGGAAACAATATAAATATAAATTGGCCAATAAAAGTTTCACTTATTCTTTGGTAAATGATAAAATAATTCATTAATATAAGTATTTTTTTTTGCATTCCCATAATTATTAATTACATTTATATTTATCTTTATCTTTTTTTTTTTTTTTTTTGTTTATTTGTAGAAAAGACTAATTATTATATCGATAAGATGTTAAAAAAATGTACATTACACATGGATAACGTTTCATTTGAAATTAACTTGTTAATAAACACGAATCCCTCCCTATATAAGATGTGCTTACTGAACAAATTCAGGATGTTGCTTAAAACAATAAGTAAAAACGTATTTATTTTTATTTAAATCTTTTTTTTTTTTTTTTTTTTAACATTACTTTTAAAAATAATTAAGTGACATTTTGCTTTCTTTTATTGTTTTTTTAATTTTTTTTTTAATTTTTTTTTTTTTTTTACTTCGTTTGCTCCGTTATGTACTTTTGTTGATTTAATAAAAAATAAATGGAAATTTTATTAAGACCACAACAACGATGTTAATTAACGTACAACAATATAAATTGCGTTTATAATCTATCGCGGCCGTAGAATAATGCTCAGCCTATAGGCGTCGGACGTTGATTCACGTCGATTAAATAGATATCTTTGTGATTTTGTAAAACGAAATCAACAAATGCATTAATCGGTGCAATTTCATCCAAAGATGTAGTATTTTTACCAGACCATAGAAAATTTGGACCAAATACAATGGCCAAATTTGATGAGGTCATTTTATTTAAGTCTTCGCATTCCATAACCTGTTAACAAAATTAATAATAAAATATATAATTAATACACTGTTGTAGTCAACGAAGATAAAGAAAGCATAGGCAGCAACTCGATTCTTTTCAATCCCCTCCTTTACTTCCTAATTTTTAGCAAATCATTGAAGAATTACAAAAAAAAACTCTGTGCAAAGTCTTGCTAGGTCTTAGCATTAACTTGAACTATATATCTAAGGGATAATAAGGAAATTCTTTTTAAACGAACATAAACTTTAATTCAAGCAAACCGATGGATAGACACTAGAACTATCGATATATTTTGCATACATCTATCTCTACTAAAGGTGATCATTTGGATAACATTTGTGATAAAATTGCCATAGCCAAATAAGTGGAGATGAGAAGATGAGATGAGAATTTTTGGCATAAAAATTCCCTGATCGATGACTTGAGTTGTGACTTGACCATAAAGACTCCAATGATAGATCAGAAGTTGAGGCAATCTCGAAAAATACCGACAATTTGTTAAATTTTAAGGCGAAAGTCTTAAAGCACTAGCACCCAACACTATCGGCTTTATTGAAAACCCTATCGCATTTGAGGTTTAATCATGTACAGCTATTTCCCAAAAAGGTGTGACCTAAATGTGCGAATAGAATAAGCTTCTCTCGTTGATTGTGGACATGTTAGTAAACCGAACACAATCATTTTTGAGACGAACAAGCATCCAAGTCTTTCTAATGAACAAACGATATGAAAAAAAGTCGGTGGTTTTCCAAGATTGTTCCAAGTGCCCTTGTAATTTGGGTATGCTGCATTTAGGCAGAGATTATGTCCATTTTTTCAACATACATTTGTAATCGATTAAGGAACGTTTGCACAAAATTTCTGATTTCTATCTCTATTTATGGTACTGTGGCCATTCCACAAGAAAACGGGATCCCTTTCGATAGAAATACGTGCGTGTCATCGGTATCCCGAAAACTAGATTTGGTGGAACAAATAATTGATTATAAATATTTGAAGATCTTTCCATACAAGTAAAAGTTACGAAAAAAGTTTGGAGCATTACACGCGATCTAACCATTTTTCTAAAGATCGAAAATTATAAAAGGATGAAATTAACGTAATCGATAGTTCTACGGTTACCGATTCAATGCTACCTTCAAATCCTATTTCAGCACACACACACAGTCACTGAACGTTTACAATACCGCAACGGTTATGACAGATTCGTTCTTCTAACAAAATGAAAAAAAATGATTATACGATACAAAATAATCAGTCAGTTAGTAAGTTAGTCAGTCAGTCAGTCAGTCAGTAAGTCAGTCAGTCAGTCAGTCAGTCAGTTATGCAACCTTGCGTAAATAGAGTCCGCTTACTGTAAATTACTTACCCTAACTAGAAATTCTACTATATATTTAAATAATTCATAATTTTCTTCGGGTAATTTTTCACGTATCAATTGCGTAACATTGCGTGATCTCTCTTCTTTGGGCCAATCTGTAATGAAAAATAGATCAAATTATGTGTTACACTCAATTATAATTTAAATTTTTATATATGCCTTACCAAGAAAACTGGTTATATCGTCATACAGTTCAAAAGTTAACAATGGCTCGCTAAGATCACGTAGAAAACTTTTCAAAAGTCCGGCTATAACATGAACATTAACATCTTTTAAATCCACATCTTCGCCACGATTAACACGTTCTTTTAAGGCAATAATTTCAGTATGATTACCGGAACGTCGAAATATACCCTCGGTATCGATCATACCCGTTATCGACAATGAGTCCACACATTTACGTACAATGGGCGGTATTGAATTCAAGCATGGACTATTTGTCACAATAAATTTTAACGTTACGCCAAATTGGGCCGTTTTAGCCATCTGTTTCGTTAAATTGCTTATATTATTATTAGTTTGGCTTGTCGAACCAAAGCGACGACCAGAATTTAATTTATCATCAAAATCGCAAATATTATCTGGTATTTTCAATTTCGATAATCCCAACGATTGACGCAACTCATCCAAACTTGATATGTAGATAAGTTTTTTACGGAATTTTTCACTAATAAATGGACTAAAGAAATTCCAAATAACGCGTATAAACCAAGTCGGATGTACCACATAAAGATTTTTTAGATTTTTACGAAAATTACGATCCAATTCTTTATATGAATTCCAAAGGAATTGAGCAGAAGGTTTGTTATCCTCTTTTAGACCCTGATGGAAGTATACAAGAATGTAATCATTTTCAACAAACGGTTCAATTTCTTTAATGACATTACTGAAAATGAAATAATATTTGACACGTATATATATATATGTATATATATATAAGAAGAGATTGAGTTAGATATAATACTAATTATAGGCATATTTAAATTTTTGATACAGACATTTATTAATAAATCATATTCGAATCTTCTTAGTGGATGCGTGCTTAATTCGCAAATTATTATCGACTAAACTCGCACTATATAGTATTCTTTTCTACCGCCCGAAAGATTTGAAGCCGCGAATACTGACCTGTTGGTCGCGTTTCTTACCTACTATTTGGCTACTCATATGCAGCTTAGAAGGCTAGAAGGCACATTTTTAAAAATACTTTCTTCCAATGCATTTTTCCGATTTCGTAAAAATGTATTAATTGTATCTTTCCCGTTCTATGGGAAGGAGGGAATTTTGCGGTAAATGAACATAAATTGAAATTTACTTTTCGTTTAAATGCTTGTAATTTTGAAAGCAGAACTGATGAATAGGTAGAACAGAATAGAAGTGGAGAAATGAATTTGGATAAAATCACCCATACATATAGTCTTCGGGTAAAGTTCTCCTTACCAGTCTACTGGCCATAAGTTTAGAGAGCGAGTTAAATTTTTCATTTTAAACGTCTATATATTTGTCTACATTCCTCGCTGGACTCTTAAACCTTTCACGAAATCAAAGCTTAGCAGATTCTAAGAGAAACGTATAGAGAAGTAAAAAACTTTTGTCCTTTTCCTTCGAACAAATATTGAATATCTACTGTATCTCCAAAATTTCTTCATTAATTCAAAATCAATAGATAAAAGACCAAATTCCCTACGTTTCGATAATCGTGAAAAAGTAAGACGAGAATATACCAGATTACCAGCAATAAGTATTCGAATAAGCTTGATAAGTGTAATCTGATGCATATATAGTCTAGAGTCGAGATCCAATAGTCCCATAACTCTATTTCCACCAATCATAACAAATACAAACTTTTACATGTTTTATTTGTAAATCTTGGTTCTTGGTCTTTCGGTTTTTTTTTTGCTTAGAAACAGAAGGCCAGCTTGTGGGTGTTTCGAAAAAAACAGAAAATGCCTGCATTACTAGGTGTTTGCGAAAAATTTTGATCAGCGACTTTTTCCAAGTAAAACGTGTACAGTGTACATAATGGTTGAATTCGATGGTTTTGACATGCCTCTACATAAAATAAGTGTGGAGGACGTCCCGCCTTTTAAGGTCGTATCTCTAGAACGAAATTTTAAAAGCCAATTTCTAACTACCTGATCAGTTGTTAGTCGTTCACCGTATACGCTGCATATTTTTGCAGCTATGGTCTTAGCGTTTGCTGCCCTGTTTAAATTCCCAAAGCATTACAGGTTTTTGACTCTCCATCATCCAGCCAGACGGTTAAGAAAACCAGTTGAATGTAACATGCACCATATAAAACAGTTGACAGCAGACTAACTGAATACTCATGTATATAGTGAAAACAAGAACTCGTTTGTTTCACTGACTTATAGTGGGTAACTACGAACAATAGATTTTATCTATCTGCATCGCAAGTTAATTATGACTCAACCTAATATATATGGAATAGTTTATTACAAGTCATTCGTTTGCTTTCATACAGTTTTTCGAATAAATTCTAATGCAATTCTTTTACATATTTTTAACCTGAATTGAGCAAATGATCTAAGTAGCGGACCTTTGCATGTACAGTTGCAGTATTCCTTATAAGAGTCTTTTGCTCATAAAATTTGAAAATTTATTTTTTAATTTAACGATAAAGAAAAGCGATATGATTGGAAAAATTGCTTACTGAATTCCATCAGAAGAGTAATTGTTTTTCAAAAAAAAAAAAAACTCAATGCAAATAAGGCAACACGTATAAGTCTGCTGGATATCTCTTCGCGATATTGTTACTTATTATTATTATTAGTGCTTACCGTATAAATATTTCCATTTCCGATTTTGCGGGAAAACGTGAAGCATATATAGCAAAGATATGGCGTCCCTGTTTATCGGTACCTAAAAAGTCGCAATGCGTACGTCTGGGACTTATACTGAAATTTTCCGTTTCCTCGCGTAGCTGATCCTCAAAGTCATCTTCTAAAGGATTTACAATATTCTCCGTTTCAGCATTAAGATCTTAAAACGAAAAAAAAAAAAAAAAAAAACAAACAAACAAACAAACACACTTACAACAAGATTTACAACTTTTATATTGTATTTAATGTATTTACCTTCGGTAACCACAAAATCTTCATCCATAACATCATCTAAATATAATCGATATTTTTTATTTATTTATATATATATATATATATATATATATATAGGTAAACATGAAAAGTTAGATTTTGTCGATAACAACCGACTAATTTATATCCTCATCTTCGTAAAGTTAAAATTTTTTTTTTTTTTTTGTAAGCGGAAACCTTCAACTTATTTAATCGAGTATAGAAATTCGGAAAACACACAACTTTACATAAAAGGAAACGAATATGGCCTTCGAGTCCTTTAGCCGTTAACAAGATATATAAAAATAATTTCAAGTCAATTGAAATTTGTAGAAAATATTGAAAATTTGAAGCTAAATGTTTTATCTTTCCTAGGCTTTATTGCGCATGACAGACCTTATAGAACACATATATATGCTTGTTGATCGGCATCAATAAGACGATGTCCCTCAATTCGATCAATGTCCTTTTCTTTTTTCAAGGCTAAACCAAATTAGAAATAAGCATTTCAGGGCGTCCGTCATGTAGTGTATAAATTTTTAGGCGAATTATAAGATTCTGAGACGATCGTCGTCGTGTAACAAATTATAATATAATGTAATCGTGAAAATGGCGCATATATTTCTGCTCAATGGGCAACGTGTTGTGGGTCATACGCAAGAACAGATATCGAAATTTTTATACCAAATATTTACGAGAGTCATCTAAAAGAAATTCAAAATTCAAATTCGGAGTGTTCAGAATGACCGTAATATTCGATTCAAATCTTTTCCCTTGAAGCGTCGCTTTGAAATTCGTAAAGAGTCGAACGTCCAATTCATACAATTTCCCCACCGTAGCCATTAAGTTATTTCACTGTGAACAAATACGGCATTCAACGTTCGATTAGCTTTCTCGTGCTTCGATCGTAATTCACTTAAACGATTGTCAACCAATAATTGACGATCGAGGGAATCCACAAATACATATATCGCTAATTTATGTGAACACGTTCCGTCATTTGCACATTCAGGTTCGATACTTTTTCGATAACCTATGTAAAATGTAAAAATGCCCAATGCAAGTAAAAAAAAAAATCAGTCAATTGGCACGCCCTCGTTTGACAAAACACTTTGCAATTTTTATAGATTTACTTAATGTGTCGAATAAAATTTTTCCACATAGTTCTACTGAAACCTATGTACTCCTGCAGAGGTAAGGATATGGCAAAAAAAATATTTAAAAAAATATATTCTTATGAGTAAATGGCGCAATATTAGTGGAATAGAACTTACTTTGATGTGTTATTGTCGTGGCCAATAGTTCGGTATCATCAAATTCCAATTTTGGCTCAAAATCATGTAAATCCGATAAACTTGGCTGCGGTTCATCTGAATTTTCTACTACTGGATTTATGGCCGGTCCTAGATGATGATGAACACGAAACTCATTATATCCATGATATTCTGTTTTAGATTTACTTAGTAGATACGGTCTGTTTTTTTTTTCCGTTTTTCTGTTTTTACTGTGCATACATTACATACTAATTTTTTATAATTAGCAGCAGTACTGCGGCATTTTATTTGCAGTTGCAGTTAGTTTAACAAATTTATTAACGAATTTCGTTTGTGGAATTGGGTGGAATTTGTTAATAACAGTAGTAGTAGTAGTAATAGTAGTGGTAGTAGTAGTAGTAGTAGTAGTAGTAGTAGTAGTAGTAGTAGTAATAGTAGTAGTAGTAGTAGTGGTAATAAATGTTAAAATATTTATTAAAAGAAAATGATTATTAAACAATTATTTATTGAATTATATATATAAATGTTTCTTTTTTTTTTTTTTTTGCTTTTTTTGCTTTAGCCATTAAGAGTTTTTGCTTTTTCTATTACATACATACATACATACATATGTACACAAATTAAAGGTTTAAAAATCAAAATCCATTGAAACGGAAATTTTGGCTTTGAAAAAATTCATAAAAACAATTTCAAAAAATTAAAATTGTAAATTAATTAATTATTTATGATATAAATAATTATAGCATTTATATATGTAACAATGAAAGTCAAGGTCGTCGCTGTTGATACGAACCATCACTTTTATGTCCAACAATTAAGAAAGCAATTTTTTGTTGTTGTAATGAATCATGGATTTCCCGTAGGTTAGTAGTTAGTATCAAAGTATGAAATATCGATTTCATATTTTATGAGTCAAGGTAAGAGTAGTCTTCCTCTTTCCTATTAATTAATAAAATCATATATGAAGTATTCTAATTAATACCAGGAAGTATATATGGAATAGAATAATTGATTCGATTAAGCGCAATATTTTGGCCTGTTCCATCTACGAATCCAATTATCCTATTGCTTAGAACAGGAGCACTAAACGAAGAAATTCTTGGAAATTTTCGGATCACTTAATGTAACTGCGCAAATAATTAGGCCTACAAGCGAATCGTCAATCATGTTGAAAGGATATCGATCTTCTTTCCTGAAGGCCATAAGACCAATCACGACATCGACTGGCAAAGCTGTTGCCAAAGCTGTTGCAAATACGGAAATTATAATCCATGTTTGATTTGGATCGACATTTCATAGCCAAATTAATTTGTATAAAACCATGGAGAATCTAAGGTGAAAGAATGAAGCTTCTTGATCTTATCTTCTCGTGCTAACAACAAGCCTTGTATTCTTCTTGATGAAGGAATTTAATTCATATATGTAAACGAAAATATTCGTTCCGCCTTCTCCTATTCATTGCAGGCACTATCCCAACAAATGAGCTTCTTTTTTCAAGCTAGACAAACTAGAGGACTTTTATACAATTTTTTTTCCCAAGACATTTGATAATGTTTGCTTGACCATCTCATCTTACGGTAGCGCATATCTAACTAATCTAAGGTGAATATTGCTTCTTCTTAATCTAGCCTAGATAGCTTAGTACTTCTTCCGCTCAGCCGTTATATATATTTTATTTGCTCCTTTTTTCTACGCTTTATATGAATTGCAACACAAACCCATTGACGCTCGTCTATGTTTTTTATTTTTTTTTTTTTAAGAAGAAGAATAAGAAGACAATGCGGCTAATATCCGTATTTACGTATGTAAAGAATGAACTGATCTGGATAGATAGAAGATGAAGGAAGATATTTGAAAATTTGCATTTTGTTTCACATACATAATTATTTCGGAGACTTGTGATTTAAAAACATTTTGTGACTTAAGGATTAAATACTGAATCGATATATGTTTGTCAAAGGTTTTTGCAAAGCTTTTTTCAGTTTTATTATCAAAATGAATCGGGCGGATGTCATGCTATTATAAGTGATTTCTATAGATTGATATGGTCAATGAAAATGATATTAATATTTATTCTGCATGCACTCGCTGAGAAATCTTTAATTTAACAAAAGAAAAGGATTACGCACAACATTTACACAGCCATAGTCAAATTATATATATACATATAGATATATATATCTTAAAAAAAACCTCATGTCAAACTCTTCACTTACCTGGAAGACGTATGGTATTCTTGCTACGGTTATCCATTGCACAATAAAGTTGAAATTTAACAGAAGCAATGTATGTAATTCAGAATGTATGATTAAAAATGCTGCTTGGAAATGCTATAATAGAAAGGAATATTTATTTGATAACGGATAGGGATATTTTTCTCTTTTTATTAATAAAATGAAATTTTTAAAATTTTTTTTCTATTAATATTTATTAGACGAAAAACTGACTCGAACGCGATCTATTTAATAAAATCTGTGCCTAGATATGAAAATGTAGCCAGTAAACTTTGGGATCCAATACGTGCTAAGTGATAATTTATATATGTGTCCCGATTTTCAAAATTTGCAATGTCTTGCCTTCAACAGCCATAGATTTTTAATTTTGGCTTAACAAAAATTATGGTTAAATACTTTGTTGAACTATAGTGAAATACTGTTCTTTTCGACTCAACGGTTATGAAATGATTTTAAAATGTATTTTAAAAAAATACATTAGGCTTAATAGCGCAACAAAAAATGTTAAATGTTCATTAGTAAACGTTTCCCAAACGCTTAAATATGACTCAACGGACAGAAAACAGAACAAAACTTTAAAGGAAATGTTTTTTGCCTAGTATTGTGACTGTTGATGAGAATCGAGTATATCACGATCAGTAAGGCAAGGCAATCAAATCTTTCAATAGCATTCAATTTGGCTACAAGAATAGAAAACCGTATATTCATTTCACAATATTCTATATTTGATGCAGTCAAGCCAAGTGCCAAGTATATTATAAACTATTTGACTGCGAACGGTATTTCTGTTTGTAGGGTATTAAACGCAAAAAGACAATAAAGTGGCCTTCCAATGCTCAACCAGTACAGCCGTTAACTCATTAAAGAAGCACTTTATACTCGCGAAATCGCTTATATATTGCTGCACTTAATTGTCATAGGTTTACAGAACAATCTGATCGGACAGCACTCTTTGGCGACATCAATTACTAGACAACTTTAAAGAGTAGGGATACACTTTTCTGAAATATCAGCGTTATCTATTTACTCCGTTAAACAAAAAAAAATGAAAACAACAACAATGAAAATTAATTCAGACATTTAGTGGGAAAAATCTACAGAAAGTCAATAATACTGATATGAAATGTAAATAAGCCCATAAGCAGAAAAGAAAATTTTTATGTATATATATACATTTACATACGTATAATATAGAATTCTTTAGGCAAATGAAACATTTAAGGCTTTGGCCCATTAAAAAATAGCGCGGACAATGCACATTAAATTTGTTAACATACACATCTAGACATGTATTTATATGGTAATATTTGTTTACTTAAATGTGCCTTTAGGTCAATTAGCATATTGACGAGATGTAATCTAACAATTTCGTTAAAAAAAAGAACGCAAATTTGCTTCACTTTACAATCGTCTCTTAATTTAAGTACATGTACATATACATATATATATATATATATATATATATTTATATATGCTCAGATAAACTGATAAAAGGGTATATAAGGTAAATAATATAATTGACTTGATGTTGTTTTTTTGTCTGAATTGTCTGGTTTTGCATACATACAAATGAAACTTTTCGAGCACCCCTTTAACTAAAAATTCTGATTAGAATTTCTTGTCGTTATTAATCAATAAACTTATTATAGTCTCCTGCCAAAATGTTTATCCATAATAGTGACAATTTTTGTTTTTATAATTAAGAATATCCATTATTATTTTATTATTACGTTATGTGCTATTTAGCATCTATTTTCATATGTTTGTTATTGCGTAGACAATTAAATAGTTAGTTTGATAGGTTGATCAATTGTTGGCTGATAGCTCTGACAATATTTTTTTCTTTTTTTTTCGTTATTATATTAATATTTTACAAAATCACTTTAATACCTTTTTTTAATTCAATATTTTGTTTGCTATTTTGATTCACTGCTGTGTCTTACAAAACATTTAAATTTTCTTATTTATTAAATAAAGTTGAAGTTAATCGCAATCCCTTTTACACATATTGATGACCTTATCTCTCTCCGAAGCTTTATATCATTTTCACAGTTGGAAAAAATTGGTATTATTATTAGCACTAAAGGAAAGTTTATACACAGCTATGTAACTGATTGTTGATGATTATTTACCGCTAAAATCTAAATTCTGTGTCTTAGAAATTATGATTTTTTTTCAAATACCTTCTCTTACAAAATTCTTAAATATTCAAAACAAGTAAACTCCTAAATTTGCAAAATATTCCACCTATAATTAATGCACTAACAGAAAAGTGTTAAATGTTAATAAAAAATTAACGTAAAAGTTGTATAATTTACGTGTTTCTGTATTTTTTTAACAATATTTGGCGGAAAGAAAATTTTTTTTATTGATAGTGCAGTGTACAACTCACAAGCCCTTCAAGGGCCAATTCAAATATATTGTACTGAAGGATAGTGTACGCAACAGGAATCAATAAATATCAGACAAATTTTTTATTAGTTAAGTTTTTATCAGTCGAATACTTATTCGGATTTATGAAGTAATCAGCTACCGGCAGACGACAATAATTGTTTATATTGCGAATTGATTTCATAAAAACACATATTTATGTTAAATTAATAGAAATATGTTCTCCTTCATATATATTTACGTTTTATGCTTGGTTGGGTGTTCTTAATATATTGTCGTTTTTCGCTAAAATATATATATAACATATGTATATATATTAATTGATATTTAATTTATATTTTTAAAACTAAAAGCAATATTATTAATAATTCTTTTCAGGGAATTGAATAATTATAATTATAAACTCACAATTTGTAATGGGAAAAAAACACATTATTTTTCTATTGTAAGAAATGTGGAAGCTCTGTAAATGAAGCGTAATAAGAAAAATTTCCCAAAATAAAAATTCAGGTAAAATGACAGTTCTATTTTTTACATCCAGAGTCGAGCCGTGCTCTTTTTTTTTAATGAAATTCAGTGCCAAGAATAATAAATGAAACGATTAGCGATAATTGTATGAATTAAAAGCTAGAGTTAAATGGTTACAAATATAATGAGATTTTAGTGCTTACATGGGAGAGAACATTTTGTAAAATGTATTAGTTTCGCTTGTGCGCTAAATTGAACTTTGATCATATTGAATGCCTGATATTTTATGAAAACAGTCGCAAGAAATTCGAACAATTAAGTCTAACAATAGCAACAACGTCGAGTGCGTATTAAACATTAAAATATGTCAAAAAGAAGACCTTTACGTACGAACTTAAATACTGGATTGAATAAGAATTTTCGTCCAGGCGGCCCGGATATAACAAGAGGGGAAGCGCGGGGCACAAGACCAACAGCACCACCCACCAGCATACGGGAAATTTTAGTCATGATGATTATTCATGTTTGCAAGAAGACAATCTTTTTCGATATAAATTTAAAAGTTGCCCTATATCTTGGTAGCCTCTTTTTGGTTTCATTAATTGGCGACTTTATACCTTTCCCAAAAACCTATTTCGCCCGTTCGGATAATTTATTTAACGTTTACTTTGTAAAAGTCGGTTGGGGTTGGACTTTGTTGTTTACCGTACCTTTTCTAACGATGACTTCGTACACTTTATGTTGCGGCGATTTAAAAAAATTATTACGCCATCATGCGCCACGTATAGCAATAGCTACATTCTTTTGGTTTTTTTGGACAAAACTTTTCAATATGATTGAAACGACATATGGCAGATGTACGATCAAAGGTAAGGTATGTTAATGTTTATCGTAGAGCATGCTAAAACTAAATATTTTGTTGCCTTCCTTTATTTAGGTTTCAATTCGAAGTCGCAGTGCCTTAAAGCTGGGCATTTATGGAATGGCTTCGATATATCTGGACATGCTTTTATTTTAATCCATTCGAGTCTTGTTTTAATTGAAGAAGCGAGACCTATCATTAAATGGGAAAGTATTAAAGAACATTTACGAAATGAGTTACATGATCGTTCCATATCGGAGCAATCGCAACGAAGCACAAATCCTTTACGAAATCTTAGCGAAGACCAAGTAAAAAATTTACAATTTCTCTACGATCGCTTTACGCCCGTTATACGAACCTTATTTATCGGTATGAGTCATTTGCAATTATTGTGGGATATTATGTTGGTTGGCACAATGCTCTACTATCACCGCATGATAGAAAAGTTCCTAAGTGGTATTATAGCTATATTAACTTGGTATTTTTGCTATCGCTTTTGGTATCCTTCTTCAATATTACCAGAACCAGCTGGTTGCGGTGTATTTTTGTATCAACGCGATAATAAAGACACGTTTCGAAGAGCGAACAGTATGACCTCGTTCTCTGCGGCAACTTGCGGTACACGTGCTAACGTAACACCTACGACAAATACAGTACCCACCTTCATGGGAATGCCTTTGTATACTAAATCCAAAGTACCCAGCCCGTCGAGCAGCACCCAACTGGTTAACCCATCAAATGACACTTTGTGATAACGATTTAAGAATAAAGGAAGCATGTTTAATAACTGAAAAAGTGATGAAGTTTACTCCTATGTTATGGATATTTAAATGGAATTTTATAGTCGTGTACGTAAAGAGATTGCATCTACTTTTATTATGTTACAGATAGTTGTTTATTTTTATTTATTTATACTTTATTTGTATTAAGTTTTCAAAGTTCTATTTTAGTTTAGTTTCAAGGGAATTTTGTTTATTGTGTTCCTTATTTATTTATTTTTCCTTTTGTTTGTTATAATTAAATGTTTTTGTATGTTTGTCATTGTTTTATTTATCATATTATAGTGTTGTAAGGGTTAATTTAGCTTACTTATGAGCGAAAGCCACCATCATAGCCATGCCTAGGACACCGGCACCAGTACCAATTTTATATTTGTTTGGAGTCATTTGCCAAATATCTTTTAAAAATTCAAAATTACTGGGCATTAGTTTTTGGCAAGCGGTCCGTTTTTTGAAACGCAAAAAATAGCTTTCAATACTTGGTAACTTGCCGTAAGACCAATAGTAATTCTCAAAACCCAATTGATAGAGACGCAACAATAAGAGGCCCAAAGCCAGATCAGCCATCGTAAAATCATTGGATATCAGCCATTCCGTCTTCGAATGGGCCGTCATATCGCGTTCGAAAAATTCCAAAACAGTACGTATTGCGTCCAAAATTTTCTGATATTCGCTCCGTGAATACACAAAACGCTTGCGACGTTCTTGTATCTCCAATTTACGCATAAGCGGCGCACGATTTACGCCCACCTCAAGCAGTGATTGCTTCAAAAATTGCACAACTTTTTCATTATTTCCTGAAATTATTACATATATTATTATATATATACATATATATATCATTAAATGGCTAAAATGTGAAAATTTCTCGTCTTTGAAATACCTAAGCAAACTTTTCTTAATGGTCCTACGAACGGCGGTTTCGGTACCAACTTTAAATCAACATCGTGTATAAAAGAGCCCAAACTTAGAGCGCCAATAGGCAAAGGAGCCAATATATTGCAAAACATTTGCAATTTGTTAAATTCCAAAGAGTTGGCTTTAAACGGTTTCAAAGATTTGTGAATGCCTGTCGAGAGATATTTTGTTAACAGATAAAATTCTTTTAGAAATTTCTTAAAAACTTTATACCATCGCAAAATTTATTTTCAATATAATTAATAATGTGCTGGGAATCGGTGACAGCAAGCGATTGATCCTTTAATACGGGCACATCAGCTTTCGGATTAAGATTTAAAAACCATTTTGAATATTGTTCACCGTTTAGTAAATCCATCACATAAGGCGTGAATTCAATATTCTTTTCATATAAAAGTAAAAGTATCTGCAAATTAGGTTAAAGCATATAACGATCGAAAATTAAGAAAAATTTTAATAAACAATTTTCTACTTTAATTGAAAGTTCAAGCAATGTAATGGACAAATTTTTTTTTGTATAAAATTTGAATCAGGAAAAAATAGATATGTGTATACATAGAATTGAAGCGTTAACAAAAAACTAAAAGAAGGACAAACTAAAGAAGTAAGGAATTAATATCGCCCAGATCTGACTAGTTCTAAGGGCTAACGTTTCCTCAAATGAACTTAGTGCTTAGAGGTCAGTGCGAGCTTTATCTTGATATCTTTAGGTATTTTAGGCTTTTCCTAACTTCATCATACTCCAAACGCTTTCGCTTTACTTATCAATGAGCAGTAATCGGCCGTCTTGCAAACTCTTTGGCAATTTCGCAGTTGTAGATTCCGATTTTAACGATGCCATCACTGTTGTCTTTTATTGTATTTTTTTTTTTCTAAATAAAAGGCGACTGCTCTTATTTGCAAGTACTACCGGAGTTTTCGGTAATTAATTGACTTTATCAATTCCGGATTCGAATAGATGTATAGGCTGAGTGATTTCGAGCTTGCTTTGCTTGCATTTATTGAACATTGAATAAGTTTACTGTTTCGTTGCGAAACCGATTATGTGGAGCCTTTCAAAGAAGCCGCGTTTGTCGGTTATTTTCGGTACAAATTGAAAAACTAATATTTACTGTTAAAGAGACAATGAATTTAGACTAAAGGCTCCTCTGCTTCGTAATTTCTTATATTCTTCGAGAAACTAGAGACGATAATGGCAAAATTGTTGCTGTTACCTACTTACGCAAGAATACGCTGTCAAATTAAAAAAAAAAAAAAACCATAAAATAATCACGTGACGAATATTTAAATAATTTTTTAATTTTTTTTTTTTTTGCTATTTTCACTTAGCAGACGCACATAAACACATTCATTCATAACGTAGATGTACATACTTTCTGTGAATAAAAATTATACGGATGCATGTATAAAACTAGAACATCGTCTTTGAAAAATGGTTCCTTAAATTGCGGCCCACCACTTGCTGGCTCATCCATAATCAAAGCGATTTTTTTAATCTGAGGGCGAAAATTGTTGATTAATTAAAATACTTAATGGAAAGCATATTTTTGAATATTTATATTTTATGAATTAATTTGTTTTTTTTTTTTTTTTTTTAATTTATCTACCTATTATCATATACTGTCTAATAAGAGCGGAGGATGTTTTCCGTTCACCAGATTACTGAACATTGATTGCAATACTAATTTATTGTATAACAAAGATTGATGCTAATCAACAGTAAGTCTGTTTCGAAATAGATTTATTTTGATTCTTGAGAATATACACGCGATTGTTATTACTTTTGTGTACCTATAATGTTTGTTTATATATATAATCTTACCCAAATGCACAAAAGTATCTAGAAATAATCAAGAAACCGCACTTAATCTGTAACTCATTTAATTTACATTTACACGTTTTTGTTTTGCTTTTATCCCTCTGCTCCTTCTACACGCTCATCATCAATTTTCGTTGCTTAAAGATCAATCAAAAGCTAAATCGTTACTTAAGCGCAGCAGCAAACAAACTTATATATATGTAGCCACTATTAAACAAGTAAAACAATTATATTCACCTGGGGCCGAATCGCGCATACCCATCACTATTAAAATCTCGAGCGCCCCATGCTTTTATTTATTGTTATAAAGAAGTGAATCGAATAAAATTTATCTTCCATCGTTATTATTATTATTATTATTATTATTGTTAATAATAATAATTATGTGGACAATCCCCATCATAAGCTAAAAGATCTGTTGTACTTGCTCACGTA